TTCGAAACGACTGAAAAACGGATTACTTCTGACGCGAATAACTTAGTTGCAGGTAAACGTGTGCGATAGCAACGCTTTTACTAGTACGACTTTCCAGATAACGTCAAAGATAGCTGTATTGTTTCAGCCGAAACAATTATTCCCTTTGCGCCATTAACTGTTCTGTCGTCCTCTATATATTATTTAGTCCATAACGCTATCTATCACCGATTACGTTTGTTGCACCAAATCCAGACGCAGCGAGAGAATAATTTTGATAATTATCAGCAGAAATGGGCGACAATTGAGATTGCTAAATGGCAGGACTAATTATCGTGTCATAGCCCGTCACAGGAATGTTACTGCAGCCCGCAGAATTCTCTATCATTTATCTAGTCTCGTAAATTCACTTTATATCGCACACTGGATAATAATGAATGTCGGGATGGGTGGGCTTTCTTACAATTTTGACTGATTGTGGCTTAATTAACATGTGACTAAATTGTTATTATTATATGGTTAAATGCGCTTGTGGCTATTAGATATTTTTAAAGTTGTTCGGACACTCTGTATAATGTACTAAATTAATGACTTTGAATGTTGACTATGTCTGAATTTAAAAATATATTTAGACTTTCGAGGGAAAAATCTGTTTAAAGCTTAAAATCGCTGCGGATTTTTTTCATTAATATGGAAATATAGTGACGCTAAAAATTATGGGCACACGGATAATTTATGATGATTTATTGCTCGTGAAATGAAAAATTAAGCTGAAAGCTTGATACCTCCCTGAACGAGAAACACCGTGATTGGTGTATTGTTGTGTGTTTTGTGATTTATAGGAGTATTCGACGAGAGTTAATGACTATAAGGATTATATTGCTCATACCTACTATTTCATGTTTCATGGATTTTTTTTAAATACGCTCACATTAATCATCTTCAGACAGTTGAAACACTATTCACACAATATCACTTGCTATTTATAGGTATTGTAATTTCAAATTGTGTATTATGAAGGATATCTTGCTAATTTACAGACCTGAAGCCATTGTAGCTACTTCACAGAAATAGTAACGTTATCGATTTGGTTCAGTTATATGTTACGTCCGTGGTGTAGGTACATTTTGCGGTGGCCATATACACGTACTAAGTGTAATTTGAATTTGACATTCTAAGAGTACCCTTGAAAATTAATACATCTTACTACTCAAGTAACGAAAAAGCATGCAAATCTAGGGTTGGACTGAATACCAAATTTTAAAAAAAAATATTTTAACATCCAAAAAGCTATAATTTTATGAGCTACCCGCATAAAATATACATAAATAAGCTTTATTCTCTACGTATTTTTAAGCAAAGTTCCAGGTAAGCAGGTATTTGAAAAATGTTGGAGACATATAAGTTTAATTCATCGAATAACATGTACATTAAATTTTCTTCTGGCGCAAAAAGATTCCTTCATTATTTAAATCTGCACTAGAAATTGCAAGAATTTCGATGGCAACTTATACCATATTGATTAAAATCTCTGAACTTTGAAACAATGAAGAGGACATTATAAAATCCATTAATGAAAATTTATTCGCGGCGTTTCGGATGCAAAAGCGTCCGCTTTACTCTGCCGAATATAAAAATTTCTTATCGCTCAATGATCGCAGATGCATTCCTTGAATAAATTAAAAGAATCTTAAGTTTACCTCAGCCATTTTAATTTTTTCAGTTAATTCCGTTAAAATAAGTACATATATTAAAGGTATAACTAATTGTTTTCGCTTTTGCGTTAAACACGTGAATATCGGCTCCAAACGCTTGAGTTATGGTGCACATAATCAGTAATTAATTTCAGAACTGGATTTGTCGATCACTGTCTATATTTCATCCGTACACATCGCCCACGTTCCGCTATTTATGAAATGCTGAATTTGAACGTTACGGATAGCATTAATTAGAGGTTGAACCTACTTCATTGATAATTTTGAAAGCATTCGACCCAGTTTCCTTTCCTTGACTCTAACCTCAAGGCCAATATAGCATGTTAACCGATTGCTTGTACCGAAAACAGAATGTTTACGTAATACGTATTTATATTGCAATATCATTTGCTTTTAAGAGTCCGTCGCGCGCTTGAAATAAAACCATTTTAAGGGTTCGGCCCATAACACATATTTGGAAAACGAATCAACATAGCGGCCCAAATAAAAAACCAATCGAAAGACAAAGTGTTTTCCTAGTGCTGTCTTGTAACAGTTTTTTCAAAACTGGTTTCTAATTGTTTAAATTTAAAGAGTAAACTATGCAAGAAATCGTCATATTTACAATTTATTTACTGAAAAATAAAGGCTTAAATCAAAAATTGCTTACAAGAGGGAAGTGGGTCTATCTTTTAGCTTTGCAATGATACCAAAATTATATTGATTTGATAAAAATTACGCAAAATTCTATGCTAAACCCCGAACGTCTATAACTTCAGAAACGAATATATTTTAAATGCTGCAACCACGTGTGTTTTACTCAGTGGGATGGGCTTAGAGATTGGTAATTGCGGACAGGACCGGAGTTCAAAGAAATATCTAGTCAGTGATAATCTATAGTCTATACGTTCTCAATTGAATGAGTATTGAATTAATCGATCTTGCGAGGTTCGATTCTTTTATTTTCATTGGTAGAAGTTTTTGCATCCAATGAGATATTATATCAGAGATTGATATAAAAACTATCTTGAGTTAAAAGTTGTACGGCACAGCCAGGCAACGTTATTTCTAGCGAAAAACTAAAAAATGTATTTTTTAATAAATGTTTTTACTGCACTATCAGCGGTAACAATGAAATTTTTAATAGTAATAATATATTTAATTTATACAGTACAACATTTCGGCGTTTCCATCCCAGCCCATGTTTATTAAAGGAAATGCCGACAATAATCCCGTTTTCGTTTTTTGCCGTTTTTCTTGAGAAAGTATACGTTTTTTGTTTCCAAATGCACATGGTCATACTAGTGAAATAACTCATTTATGAACGAGTGCTCGTTGATGAGTATTGACGATATTTAATTATTTTTGGTCATATTGAACTTATTCTCGTATACGAGATTTCTATTCGGATGCCTGTTATTAAAAATCACTGCCGCTTCTTGATGAGTTTTATAATCATCTCCCACAATCAAAACTATTTAAATTTTCTCCTAAGAAGTTAACAGAGCTGCCATTTCTTGTATTTTATAAATTGTAACTAGCGTTTTGACGTTTGCTATCAAAAATTCCATTGGTTTGTCAGTGCATCTTACAGGAGAAGGTAAGGTAGTCGGATTTTTTAATTTTTGATATTTATGGTACGTGTAGTTTGGACCTTGAATAAGAATTTTTCGAAGTAGTTCGACGCAACGTTCGTAAATTACCGAGATAATCGATTTTGAAGTTTTACCTGACAACTAAATCCACTAGATGTGACGCATTTTTCAACTAGGAGCGTGGCGTAATTGGTAGCGTTCGGGACTGACAGTCACGAGATAGCTGGTTCGAGTCCGTCGCGTGACATTTTTTTTTTTTTTTCAAAACGCATCATATAGTTTTTTATTATTTTTTTCATCTCGAAAATTATGAACAAACGAAATATTATAATAAACATTTATGTATATGTAGGAATATTCTTCAAATATTTCACTAAAATGCACAATTGGTTGATAAACAATATTATGAATTAACAATAAAGTTTCTTTAAAAAAAAACAAACCAGGTCAAGTAGATTTTTTATTTTATTTTTAGTATTTGACATTTTACGCAGTGTGGCATAAACCAGAATGATAGTTATCATAGAAACATGGGAAGCAGAAACTTTTTATGCCCGAGCAAGTGTGTTTTTTTAAACACGGTGGACGACCCACACAACCTAGCTCAAAATGTTAATTAAACATTTGAAGAACATTCCTACATACAGTTCTCATAATATTTCGGTTGTTCATAATTTTCGAGATCAGAAAAAGAAAAAGAAAGGAAGCCAGATGCTTAAAAAATTTCTGCTTCCCATTTTTTTATAATAACTACTATTCTGGCTCGTGCCACACTGCGTAAAATGTCAAATAGTAACATAAATATAAAATAAAAGAACATCCTACCTGACCTCGTTTGTTTTTTTTTTAATGAAATCTTATTGTTAGTTCATAATAAATATTGTTTATCAACCAATTGTGCTTTTTAATGAAATATTTGAAGAATATTTTTTCATATACATAAGTATTTATTAAATATTTCGTTTGTTCATAATTTTCGAGATGAAAAAATAATAAAATATCATGTTGCGACTGTCAATTCCGAACGCTACCTATTAGGCCACGCTCCCAGTTATATTCCAGTCGGCAGAGGCCGAAAAGTTACTGTTGGTGACATTTTCTTGATAACTCGGAAATAACTACACAGGTCTACTTTAAATGATGAGTATAATAACAGGCTAATTTGCTGACAAAGTATTTTATCAGGGAAAAAAAGTTATTAACAATTTAATCGTGAAAAATTTTTTTTTTAGTAGTTTTCTTTAAATAACTCAGCGGGATGACTTTGTACGAAAAAATGTTTAGGACATGATTTTGTTCGTAATAAAAATAGCTACAAAATGGCGGTGGTCCGATTACGAAATTTGCAATAACAAAGCCGTGAGATTGAAAAAACGGTTTAAAACGCCAATTTTTTTAAGTTGCTGTAAAAATGTCAATTATAAACAAAAAATGATAAAACTTTCGAAAACTATAGTTCAATATATATGCAATAATGACGCTAAAGCCGAAAATCAGGAGAGCAAAACTTTTTGTTCTATAAGGTGTTATACATTCATCGGCATCTGAAACTCGAAACTTTGTCAAATTTGTTCGAAGCTTTGCTGACACTGTCTCTAACATTCTGTAGATTTGCATTTTCTGAGTTAACATAATTGTGTAATTAATTTTGTTTATAACTGCGGTTGATAAGGTTGATGATACGAGACGCAGAAAAATATATAAACTGGCATAAACATTTAGCAGTCCTTTAACGAACTCTGCTCAGAGCTTACGCTTGTGTCGATTTTGAATCATGAAGGGTGTATTTTTGGCTTTATTCTGCGGCATCGCGCTGACTTGTGTCTGCGTAGGTATGTGAATAACTTTGGTTCTTTATGTATATTTAAACATAATTTACTCGAGTGTGGAATTTTACTGAAATTTATTTCAGTTGCATTCAAATAACGTTGAGCTCCTTGGAGACTTCGAAGTGTTTGTCGTTTTCTTCTTTTCTTCTTTATATATCAAATTTCCTTTAATGTAACATTCCCCCTACGTACGTAATACGCATTTTTGTAGACTTGGAAATTTAAAATATGTCGCTTGTATACCAAACCAATGTAACATATTTAACCTCTAGTAATTTTGTATTTAAACTTTATCATCCAAATAAATAATAATTGCAAGTACCTAAAGGACCTGTTTTACAATAAATAATTAATAAAAACAATAAATAAGGGCTAGAGACGTGTTTTCGTAGGAAATTGTGATATTACTTAAAAGGTCTTAAAAGGTTCTGTTTAATCAAATTGTAGACTGTAAACTTTATTCGATTACGTCCAGTCATTTGGGACATTTCGATAGAGCAATTTTCATAAATGCCATCTTTTAAAAACCTTTTTGTTTTAGATGCTATCGAGAACTTCCTAGAAAATCCTCTGTACCAATGCATACGGTGTTTATGCCATGCTCGATCTGGTTGTTGGATAAGACAGAATTGTGCGAGGTATTCTATTTCCAGAAATTATTGGCAAGAAGCGGGCGCACTCACCGTTAACAATTGGAGCAAAGGTGGAGACGATTATACGAGATGCATGAGGGATGAAAATTGCATTGTTGGAACTATTATCCAATATACGCAGAAATTTGGAAAACTGGTAAGCTCATTAGTACATGGGTACCTATAATTGATCTCACAGTTGTTTCGTTCCGTTCGTGAATATAATTGAATTTGAAGGGTACTTTTTCCTTTTAATGCAAGGATACAGTTGTACAAACATTGTATTGATTGATTTTTTCAAGTAAAAATGGAACCTAGAACACGAATGTTACATTTTTCCACTTCCTGTTCTTTCGCAGTGAAACAAATTCGAAGCTGAGGACTGTTGCCGACATCTCACGTGTCGAAATAACAAGACTAGCAGAGAACTTCAGCAAGTAGAAGGGACACATATAATTTAATTCTTAACTTGGTTAATTAACTTGAAAGAAGTTCGTCAAACTAATAAGGAATGTTGACCACGAATAAAAGAAATAATTATAATGTAATTACGTATATTTGAGTGAAAATTACTAACTCTTGGAACTATTGTGCTCTCTTTAAAAAAAATATATCTAGCTATAGAATAGAAACAAGTTATCTATTTTTACAGGACTGTAACTGCGACGGGAAATTTGATTGTAAAGATAGATTCGCTATCCATCTCTTTGGACCGAGTTGTGAAAATCCCAAATTTACTTCGACTTATGCTAGAAGGTTCAACGAATGTTCGGCGAGGATAGGGGTGGCCACAATGCTTACTGAAGAGGGTGATAATTGCGAGGCACCGCCTGTAGAATAATACCTAGTGTGTTTATTATATAACAATGTCCTTCTAATACTTATAACATTACTTCTCTAAATTTTATATTGTATATACCTACCTAATAAATCGTTTTATTAAACACGTTCCTTTTTTTTATATTACACAAATAAATGTATAATTTATAAGTTTGGTATCGTTTGAACCTGGTGAAAGTGATGAAGTGGCAAATTTTTAAATTTAAATTTTCACGCACCGTTTCATCCAAGATTTATTTTTTGTTTATCATATTAAAACGAAATTGATCCCGAAACCCCGAAGACAATTTGCGTGTGAAATTAGATGCGTATAGTGGGCTGTATTGCAGCCATATAGCTGAGGTATTTTATGGTAGAACGAAAGGAGAAGTAAAATTCAGGAATATTCGAGGTATCATTAAACCCTTCCACTTGGTAAGTAGGTAATCGTGTTATCTGACTAAGTGTTGACAAATATCCAGTAATAATTTGAATTATTTAAAAAAATCCAAAAAGCCATTTATATTTGCACTAAGAAATATTGAAAATTCAAGGAAGTCGTATTTTGCGCAACAAAATTCCCAGGTTATAGGGTGTGTTTGTATCTACATTAAAATATCTTTATCTGCTTATTTATATGAATATTATAATTAAAATGGTTTGTTATCAAATATGATACATAAATGTGTTTCGCTTAATTATAACTTGACCCGGGGAAAACCAGTACTAACAGTATTTTATTTCTTTTAAAATAGAGATACCGACTAATTGTAAGTATTAGTTGATTTCTGCGATATCAACAGTTAGGAATCTTTTTGTGACGTTTTATATTTTGCAAAGAACACTGTTTTCCTTCATTTGATAGGATTTTTTTGAAGAAAAATGTTTATGAATTTAAAAATAGTGCATTTGAGCACTGAACACCTATAAACTTCTCAAGTTTAATCAGTAAGAGAGTATTGGTAAGTCGTTTGGTTTCAGTTCAATTGTCCCGACCATTATTTTCCTAGTGCAAAGTTTGTAGACCACTATTTTTAACTTTATGAAGCAATTTCTTTCGCTTTCATGCATGCTTTTTCAATTAAGTACTTGTCGAAATGTTATATCTTCTCTTTTATTTTTAAAATGGGTTATGAAAAAGTTCTTTTCAAAATATAAGACAATCATAAATAATCATAATATACATTTTTATTTATCTAATATGTAATATGTACTTATTTACGGAAATGTTGGAACGTCAATGAATAAACAGTACATTTTTTTCGAAAAACATAATTTCTTTTAAAATATATATTATTTATTAACCGGATACACATACCTACACCAGAGATATTAATAATCTGGGACGACATAAAAAGATGATGTATAATCCTGTCACCTATACAAAATTTATAAAGATTGGTTTTCACCTTCATCAATTATAGCATTATCGAGATCTTTTAATTTTTCATATTCTCAAAAGATTTCGCCTAAAGATCGTATATCTCCATAAAACATCTCATTTAATATGTTTAATTTGTCAATAAAACAAAAAACAATCAAATTAAGGTATGTTTTGGGTAAAACAGAACTGAAAATTTTATAACTGATTAATATTGTCTAAAACTATCCGCTGTCTTCTGTATGATTAAAAATTGTATTTAAAACTGCTTTGTTTTTCAGTCAAACACTTGTTTTTGTGAATACCTCTATGTGATTCATCGTATAGTGACATAATTGGCTTTGATAACATTATGATAAAAAACTACTTCCCACGGGATTAAAACATATTCTAAAAATTGAATTTTTTCGACGAACATTCGTCAACTCTTCAAAAGATAATAGTTTATTTTCTTCAATTTTGTATATTGCTTAAACGCTAAAGAGCAATTTTTTGATATGTAACTGTTAAACTGAAAAGAGCAATGAAAATATAAAAACGAAATAAAGCACAAATGAATATTTGAAATGATGGGAAATAATTTTAAAATATTTTTCTAACCAATCTATAACAAAAACTACTGGCGTACCTCTAGCATTTCGTCCGAATATTCCGGTAAACCAAACCGCACCTTTCTAGGTCAAGCTGTCACAAAAAGTAGGTACTCGGGCTAATAATTAAAAATGATAAAACTGCATTTTTGTCATTGGCGTCTAAACAATGTGCTCTGTCATATCTGATTAATTACATAATACTTTTCCTCATCTTTCCCTACCGTATGATACAAAGTATAAAATTAATTATTCGCTTGGCACTAAATAAAAATATTTTTTTAATTATACTTTTATATGTCTGCGACAGTTGACAATCAATGAAAGCTTAGGAAGAATATAAAAACATTTTATAAATGATGTGGCGGTACGCTATGAGCGTCACACCCTTTGTTTAAGTCACACTTTAAGCTTATTGAAAGCTGTACAATGCTAATTAAATATTGTTGTAATCTTACCGAAATTTAATTGCCAACGTGACTTGTGATGAATTATGAACGCGCATATATAGCTGAATACGCATGTGTCATGTGTCTATGTGTATGTTATATGTGAATATGTCAATTTGCGTATGTGTCTATATATCTAAACGAGTAGATGTTAATATGTGTTGATGTTACTCAATGTTCATACATTATGGCTAAATGCACACGTGGCTAAAGTTTAATTCGAAACTTCTCTCTTCCAGCACTGGGTAGGTATATACAAGATGTTAATATGATTATGATGCGGGTCGATATCGTAGTTCATTATAACCGCCTGCAATACGAAGTAGATTGTTCAACGAATGGTCATTTATTTAGAACAGCATTGCAATATTTGATTCAAAATCCACACCTATTCTCCGCACGTTCATCCACCTCAGTTATTTACAAATAGGGAACAGATTCACAATTAAACTAATTACGTGCTGTCGAGTGGAGACACAGAGAGCAATCAAATCGCGCAGCAATTACAGAGGAATAGTTGATAAATGACGGTGTTAACAATGGATTTACATGTAAATTGTTTGCAATAGTAATTAGTCTAAATGCCGTAATAGGATAAATATTAACTACTATTCGACGCGAAAATACTCACTTAGGTATCGAACTGTAGGTAACAGTTAAGGGTCCCCAACGATACATTACATGCATATATTACACGGAAGACTTTAAAGACATCTATCTACCTCTCATTAAATAATGCAGACCTCTCAGCGCGATAGCTGAATTTCCCCTAATATAGTCTAATCATCGTCAGTCTGCATATGCTAGCACTGAATTGAATTAACACGAATATATTCCTTCAACCAGGTTGGCAATTTGTTCCCACGTCAATGTGGAAGGTACGTATTATACTTTTAACATCCATTAAAGATACCCAGCTATATTCATTCTTCGTTTTATAACCCAGTGACTATTTGCATTTGATTCGAGTGTTGTAATATACAATAGAATGAAATTCTTCATTCCGGCATAGTGTTATTAGATATCTCAGAAATGTCCAGAGTTCTATGTTGTACTGATTGATTATTTTTAAGGTCAGAAATTGCTTTGAACAGTTAGGAATAGGAATATAATTTATCTCTTATCTCCAGAGGTCGAAGATTCTTTAAATTCGTTTCCCTAATTTACCCCGTAACGAAAATACCATTAATTCTAGTTCCACCCTTAATGAATTTCCACTCGCATTCAAACGTTCTTTGCTAAGGAGAAAACTAACTTTCGGTAGAGTGAGAAATCTAAGAGATTTTTTATCCGAACACTCTACAATTACGCATCCGCAAATTAAAGTAACTAACAAGTATCAGGTATTTCAAACAATTTAAAACCGCGTACGTTTAAATTTGGACCTTCACTACAAAGGAATAAGTTATAGTTTCTGAGTAAAATTTCCATATTTTGTAGATTTTTCATTTAATTTACTGAAAAAAATCCTTTAATCGGTGTATATATTATTCCCCGTTTATTAGAAACAAAATACAGTTGTTTTTTTTTTAATATCTGCATTGTGTCGGTAATATTCATTACCAGAAGTGATACGGCTTAGAAATCGGCCACATAAGATATCATTTGTCGTCTTCTCTCAATTATTACCTATAGGTACTTATTAATTCTTTCTTAAAAATATTTAATAAATAAATATCCTATCTCAGCAAAATTGTATGTACGTGCACCATATTCCTTGTGGTAGTGCCTTTTTAACTACTACTAAATGTAACTTTAAAAAAAAGCATCTTACATATAAAATACTCTTTGTAGTTCCGTCTCCTGAAGCCAGGCGTGCATTTTATACTTTTTCCCAGGCAGCCGTCGACACTATTTTCACAATGCATGCTTGTCATTTATCTTGTGAATGTACATTTCTCTTTGAAAAATGTAAAGCTTCAGGGCAGTAATGACGTTGCACATGCCTTGTTTAATTAAATATTTATCCTATGAAATTTAAAACGTTGGAGTGTTATATAAAGTTTTTGTTGTCAAATTACTGGTTTTCAAGAATTCTCTAATATTTAACCCGGCAATCTCTAAAACAACTCAAGGATCTGAATAATACAACAATAACTCGCTCTGGAATTCTAACAATTAAAATTCGAGCTGATAATGTGAATTGTCGCTAATAAACTTCGTCAAGAGATTATGCACGAAACTTAGCAATGTAAAGGCATCTAACAGGTTGAAGTCTGTAGTCCTGTCTAGGCCTACTATCTCATTACCCGTTGCAAAGTTAGTTCCAGCTGTGTTTAGTTGTTCATCCTTCTACATAATCAATCTTCCACCATACTCGAATACCTAAATGTACAACTTTATACATATACAAGTATTCCTATGTGTTAAAGGTTTTTACATTACTGATGAAAAACGAATTGTGCTTATTCACGAAATGTGTGCATTTTGCCGCATGCTCATTTAGTTACATGTTCCTTTAGTCACATCGGCATTTTTTAAGGTTCGGTCAAATAGGAGGCGGACTGTCCGCGCGGATCGAGCCACCCGTCCGCCGCGAACTTTTGTAATAGCTGTTTTAATCTGCTGTCAAATAACTTCATGCATTTATTCATCAAGTTCTTGACGAATTAGAGCATGTTCTAATTTTCGTCAATTTCTTCGTGAAGTTCGGAAGTACCAAACCAACAGATTTCCAGCCTCAGATCAGTAATGAGGTTATGTTATT